GGGCAATGTGGTGAAGCCCTGTCTCTACAAAAAATACAAAAGCTTTAGCTGAGCGTGGTGGTGTGCACCTGTAGACCCAGCTACCTGGGAGGCTGAGGTGGGAAGGTGGGAGGATTGCTTGGACCCCGGAGGTCAAGGATGCAGTGAGTTGAGATAGCACCACTGCTCTCCCGCCCGGGTGACAGAGACCCTGTCTCAAAAACAAACGAACGAACAAAAAAACCCAACAACACAGGAAAACCTGGATCTGCTCAGCATTTGCCCTAGGGCAGCGACTGGGTTACCTTCCACTGTGGATTAACTCAGTTCAGCTGATAACTACTGCTTCAGGCCCCCAGCCTGGGACAGCCCTGGGGACACAGTCACCCAGTAGCAGCACTGTGCCCAGCATAGGTAACCACTCAATAATGACGACGGTTACTAAGTACTCCACCCCTGCTAAACAGTAGGCAGAGACTGTCCCCTGTTTGCCATCATAACCCCAGTCCTCAGTAGGTGCTCAATGTTCAGTGAATGAGTAAGTGAAGGGAAAGCTGAGGCACCGACCCTCGGGGAGCCCTCGGTCTGGTGGGTGTAACCAACAACCACAGAACTACAGAACTGTGTGGTATACGAATTATATCTCAATAAAGCCATTTGAAAAAATATCAAATGTGCCATTGAGTATTAAGATTTGGATAGGAAGCTATGGGTAATGAGAATATAGTGACATCTTGCAACGTTTTATCAAGAAAAATATAAATTGAAATGTTTTATCATATTTAACTTACATGATATTTAATTTACAGTCTTTAACTTATACTATTTGAAACGAGGCATATTTTTTTTTTCTTTTTTTGAGACAGCCGTGATGTGTTTGCCAGGCTGGAGTGCAGTGGCACAATCATGGCTCACTGCAACCTTTGCCTCCCGGGTTCAAGTGATTCTCGTGCCTCAGCCTCCTGATCTAGCTGGGATCACAGACGTGCATCATCACACCTGGCTATTTTTTGTATTTTTAGCAGAGATGGGGTTTTGCTACGTTGCCCAGGCTGGTCTCGATCTCCTGGGCTCAAGCGATCCACCTGCCTCGGCCTCCCAAAGTGTTAGGATTACAAGCGTGAGCCACCACACCTGGCCAAGACAGAACGTCTTCTGTCCCAGTGTGGATCACGCACAGGGGAGGAGGGAAGGTCCTGAGTGCATTGTGCTGAGGTGCCATGGAGGTGGTTTGGCACCAGAAAAAGAGGAGCTGGCCCACCTAGTAAAATCCACAATGCCTGCTCCACCTCACCTGCTGAGAGGGTGCCACACCTTCGGGCATGACTAGCCCAGGGCCTGCCACAAAGCAGTCACCTAGAAAGTAACCTGAATGCGGGAGAAAATGTTGGAGACTAGGAGTCTTGAACCTGGGGTCCCAGGAGAACCTCAGGAAAGGCTTCAGTCTACGCGCAGTGGCTCACACCTGCAATCCCAGCATTTTGAGAGGCCAAGGCGGGAGGTGCATTTGAGCTCAGGAGTTCAAGACTGCAGTAAGACCACTGCACTCCAGTCTGAGCGACAGAGTGAGACCCTGTCTCAAAAGAAAAGAAAAGGCCGGGCGCAGTGGCTCACGCCTGTAATCCCAGCACTTTGGGAGGCTGAGGCGGGCAGATCACGAGGTCAGGAGTTTGAGACCAGCCTGGCCAATATGGTGAAACACTCTCTCTACTAAAAATACAAAAATTAGTCGGGAGTGGTGGCGCCTGCCTGTAGTCCCAGCTACTTGGGAGGCTAAGGCAGAAGAATCGCTTGAACCCAGAAGGCAGAGGTTGAGGTGGGCCGAGATTGCGCCACTGCACTCCAGCCTGGGCGACAGAGCGAAACTCCATCTCAAACAAACAACAACAAAAAACGGCTCCGGAGGCTGATTTGTTAAGGCCAAGCAAGGGAGGAATGAAAGGGCTTCAGAGAGACAGGGAACCCCCTGGATTACTCACTTAAGCCCTCAGCCCTGGAGAGACCCTCACCAATGCTGCCTCCCCTTCTGTTAGTTGGCACCAAGGGGACCTCCAGGAAGCATCTAGTGAGCCCTTGGGGTGGGGGACAGCTCTGCTGCTGCCAAACCCCAGGAGTCTGTCGCCTGCAGCCCACGAGCCCCAGGGACTCCCATACACCTTTGTTCTCTTCTCAGGGATGCCTGAGGTGCCCTGCTGGACCCCAGAGCTTTCCCCACCAGGCAGCCAAGGAATGAGCAGGGAAAGGCATGGCCAGGAGGTGGGAGAGGGTCCCAAAACACACCCTTGAGGCCCACTGTCCCCAATCTCACCAGCTGAATTTAGCATCAAAATACTAGCAGTGAGGGCCGGGTGTGGTGGCTCACACCTGTAATTCCAGGAGTTCGAGACCAGTCTGGCCAACATGGCGAAACCCTGCCTCTACTAAAAATACAAAAATTAGCTGGGTGTGGTAGCGGGTACCTGTAGTCCCAGCTATTCGGGAGGCTGGGGCAGGAGAATCACTTGAACCTGGGAAGTGGAGGTTGCAGTGAGCCGAGATCACGCCATTGCAGTACAGCCTTGGTGACAGAGCAAGACTCCATCCTAAAACAAAACAAAACAGAACACTAGCAATGAGGGCTGGGCATGGTGGTTTACACCTGTAATCCTAGCACTTTGGAAGACCGAGGTGGGGGGATCGTTTGAAACCAGGAGTTTGAGACTAGCCTGGGCAACAGGGTGAGACCCCGTCTCTACAAAAACAAAAAAACCCAACTGGTAGTGAGGGTCCCTGTGGAAGATTCCAGATAGCAGAGCAAGATCAGGCCTGGCATACATCACAGTCACAATTTCTGGGTTTCAAGCATGATTTTTGGTCCCAGGATTGTACGGCTGATGAAGGCGACAGCGCAAGGAGCAGCTGGTTTCCTGAAGGGAAATGCCCTGAGAGGAGAGCGGGCCTGAGCCTCCGGGGGTCACTCTCAGATGAGTCAGTCCACTCCACCTCAGCAGCTCTGCGAATCGCCACTGGCGTGCACAGGAGCTCCCGGCCTGGCAGCTTCTGCTGCAGGAGGGCAAGCCTCTGCTGTGACTCTCCGGGTGAGCCTGTCTCACTGACTTCAGGGCGGCTGTTTCCCTTGCGACCTCACCAAGGAGAGGTATTTTCCATTTGTCCAGTTTCTTCTTGAAGTGACAACTGACAAAGATTATTTGCTTGGCCAAACTTTACTCAGGCTCCTGAACCTTCCCATAGGCCCACCTGTGGGCCCTTGTAAAACCCAGTTTCAGCAATCCCTTGCTAAGTCAATTTTACAAGAACGTCCATCCTTGACATTTTTTTTTCTTTTTTTTTGAGATAGGATCTCACTGTCTTCCAGGCTGGAGTACAGTGGTACGATCTCGGCTCACTGCAGCCTCAACCTCCCAGGCTCAAGTGATCCTCCCAACTCAGCCTCCCAAGTAGCTGGGACCACAGGTACACACCACCACGCCTGGCTAATTTTTGTGTTTTTTGTAGAGATGGAGTCTATGTTGCCCAGGTTAGTCTCGAACCTCTGGGCTCAAGCGATCCTCCCAACTTGGTCTCCTAAAGTGCTGGGATTGTAGGCGTGAGCCACCGCACCTGGCCTCATCTTCCATCCCCGCCCCCAGGTGATGTCTGGTCACCCTGGCCTGTCTTCAGCAAGAATCCTGTTAGGAGTGTTTGGCCAGAAGGCCCCTGACCCCTGAGACTTCCTCTGAGTCATTTTCCACCCACTGCCCTGCCCTGCTCCTCGGCTCTAATGCCCAGCTGCCCATGCTGCTGCACTCAGAGTTGAGCTCTCTCTCTCTCCCCATCCGCAAGACCCCACTGCAGTGGCCCCTGTCCCTACCTTGATGGTCCTGGATAAAACTTTAGCATGAAAGAAAATGAAAAGCAAAATGTTTGCTTTCCCAGCCCCTTCTGTGTGCCAGGCACCTTGCTAACATGACCCGGGAGGCTGCAGCACCCGTGTGCCCATGGGGAATGGCTCGCTGGGCCCTTCTGTGTGCC